CGAATTTTTAATTTTTTCTTCCAATAATACGACTCCATTTTTTTAGCAAAATAGCCTTGATTCTACTCGCAGATTACGATTTCGGCTCTGTAATAATGATTTCTAAAGGTACAATGGATATATGATTGAAAACAAGCCAGTGATATGATGACTCAATTGTATGATCGTTAACTTAATTAAATAAAATATTGAAAATGAAATAAAAAAATCTACTTAATTCTAACGGTGGCATAAGCATTCGAAAGCATTTTCCCACATTTTCAAGGATTTAATGCAGAAGTAAAATCAATATTGCCAAAAAGAAAATATTTTCAAATGCTTGTTGTCCATGTCAGCGTCGGTATCGTCTTCGTCCAATGGCCAAATATACAAATCTATTTACACATTTACAAAAAAAACTACAATATTAAATCTAGATATTGCATTGCAGCTAACATTGAATGGACTTTACAAAACTACTGCTACACACACATTTCCCACGCACACACACACTCGCACATAGACACACACACAGACAGCCAGACAGTTATAGGAGAAGAAATGAAATTGAATTTGCATACCAATAGAATTTTGTTATGATTCGTTTTTCATTGAGGATTCTATTCTTATTCTTATGTTGTTTTTCTTTGTTTTCATTTTGAGCTATAGAATATTTAGAATTGTTTTCTCTTTTCTTTTTTTGGGTTTTCCTTTGTTATTGCTTAACAAATATTTTTTGGTTTATTGTGTTCGTTTTTTTCGTTAGATTGTTTTTAGTTGTCTTGTCTTTCTTGATTTGAGTTACTTTCAATTTTAGTTTTTTTTTTTTCGTTTTTTTAACAAGTGGTCGGTGTTAGACACCTTATCAGATATGAAAACGCCATCTAAAGAAATGATATGAAAGAAGATGGATATGGACGGATGGATTGAAAAGATTGTTGTTTAGATTGACTCGAGTATTAAATTTTAGATACAATTGTGAAAAGTTTTCAATCAGTGTGGTGGAATTAGTGAATTTGTGAATTTGTGAATTTTTGAAAGGACATTAAAAATAATGGCTGATTTTTACATGAAACTAAATTGAAAATAACGTGAAATGTTAGTGCTTCGTTGAAAATGAAGATAAAGTGGGTTTTGTGAAGGAACGTCGAGTTTCATTTCACCGGAGTCATTAACATGGAGAATATTTTAAAAACGGTAAAACTTTATTGAAGTCATTTTAAAACAGGGCCGGGTAGTGAGTTGCAGGTTTACCAGAGAGTTACACGAGAGTTATATTGTTTTTAAATGGACCTGATTGGGAGTGTGTGGCAAGATTGATAACCTTTGGAATCCTTAAAATAAATAACAAGTTAAAAAGCAGTAAGTTCGGCCGGGCCGAACTTTAAATACCCTCCACCATTTGGAACGAATTTGAAAATTTTCAAAAAATAAAATCCTTAAAAAATTCTGTTAAAATTTTAGAAATACCGAATATATCCGTTATACGACGTGGACCTATATAGGCATTGTTTGTCATAAGCCATTACCATATTCAAATTCGAAACTTCAAATAAACGGTGAATAATGTAGCTAAAATCATCAAAATATCGTATATAGGGAGGTACCGTTATATCGGAGCTGTGGGAAGACCTGGGCCAACATGGACAATTTTCTGTCACAGGCTGTAGCATCCATTACGAACTTCATTCATGGACAGACATACGACGGACATGCATAAATCGACTCAGAATGTGATTCTATGCAGATCATCAAAAGGAACTATGGGTCTATATCGCTTCCTTCTCCACTTTACAAACAAGTGCATGAAGACATAATACACTGACTACAGTGTGGAGTAGGTTATAAAAATCCGTAATTTTCAGTCAGGAGATGTTTGACAAAACTGTCCACAACAATTTCTAAAAAAATATATAATTATTGGACAAATCATTAATCATTATGTCATTAAACTGTTTTTAAGCCATGACTTGCTGTCAGGAAGTTTTTGAAAATTTTTCTTAAAAAAGCACTCATCACTTTTCTTAAAAAGCACAGGGGGTCAAACAGTATGTTCTTAAATTTTTTTAAATTCTCGATTTTCAGTCGTAAAGTACTTGGAAACAAATTCTTAACATATCTACAATTTTCGATTATGATTTTTTTTATAAATCAACGATTTATATAGAGAAGTTCTTTCTTCCTTAAAGGAGGGCATTGAACATTTTTGGCCTGACTTTTGATATATTGTTGTTGATTTAATTTTTATAGGATATTTGGAATTGCATTTTTAGGAATATTTCTGAAGGTATTTCAAAATCATTTTCGGTTTTTTTATAAATATTTTTTAAGCCACTTCATACCCATTGTTGTAGATTTTTTAAAATATTTTTTAGACCCATATTCATGCATTTTTAAGAATATTTTTAAATTGAATTGAACTATGTCATGCGATTTTTTATGAATGTGCTTGGGAAAAGGGTATATTTACATGGAGCATATTTTAAATCTATTATTCTATGAAACAATTTTCTTGAAAATTTCTCGATTTTCCATGAATTATTCTAAAAATTCAAGAGTTCCGATTTGAAGACCCTTCAAAAAATCTACGATTTTTGGCCAAGAGATCCACGAATATTTTTTTTGTTGTAAAATGTACGAGTTTTGGTCGTAAGGCATGTAAAAATATTCTTAAAAATCCACGATTTGGATTCAAAATATCAAAAAAAAAAAAAAAAACTTATTAAAATATACACATTTCATTCAGGAGGTCCTTTAAAAAAATCTACTATTTTAACGTAAAAAAATCATAAAATAAAATAAAGTTAAATATATTGCAATGTGCGAAAAGGATAAACCAAATTGAAAACTGATTTAACACTTTATTATTGTAAATAATATTACAATAATAAAAGCATTGCGATGTGTAACTTTTAGATAACATCGAATTCTCTCTTCGCTCTTTGCGAGATATATATTTTGTTGTTGGCAAATTTGGGGGAAGTACCAGAGTTTTAAACAAGTTACCATAACGGGATAGTGTGACTCACAGACTGTCGAGGTTACGGGTCTAGAACCATTATTTCGAGGAGCCATATTTCGGCAAAAGCTGTAGACATATGGCTAAGTGTTTAAAAAAATCACATTCGGAAATCAATTACACAATTAAAGCACAAACGAGCTTCAAAAATAATATTTCAAAAATTCACTTTTGCAGCTCAAATAGGATTCAAAAAATAATTTTAAACAAATCTATATTCGGGCCTCAAAAATAATGTTTAAAAAACCAACGTTTGGGGTTCAAATGACCTCAAAAATAATGTTTAAAAAACCAATGTTTGGGGTTCAAATGACCTCAAAAATAATGTTTAAAAAATCCACGTTTGGGGTTGAAATGACCTCAAAAATAATATTTAAAAAATCCACGTTTGGGGCTGAAATGATATCAAAAATAATATTAAAAAATCCACGTTTGAAGCACAAGTGGCCTCAAAAATAATATTTAAAAAAGTCCAAGTTTCAGGCTTCAATTGGTCTCAAAAATAATATTGAAAAAATCTACGTTTAGAGCTCATTTGGGCTCAAAAATAAAATTTATAAAATCCACGTTTGGAGCTCATTTGGGCTCAAAAATAAAATTTAAAAAATCCACGTTTGGAGCTGATTTGGGCTCAAAAATAAAATTTAAAAAATCCACGTTAGGAGCTCAATTGGTTGATATGGCCTCAAAAATAAAATTTAAAAAATCTACGTTTAGAGCTCATTTGGGCTCAAAAATAAAATATAAAAAATCCACGTTTGGAGCTCAATTGGTTGAAATGGCCTCAAAAATAAAATTAAAAAAATCCACGTTTGGAGCTCAATTGGTTAAAATGGCCTCAAAAATAAAATTAAAAAAATCCACGTTTGGAGCTCAAATGGCCTCAAAAATAAAACATAAAAAATTCACGTTTGGAGCTCAAATGGCTGAAATGGGTGGAGCTCAGATGTCCTCAAAAATAAAATTTAAAAAAAAAAACACGTTTGGAGCCAAAAAGGGCTGAAATGGCCTCAAAAATAAAATTTAATAAAACCACGTTTGTAGCTAAAATGGCTAAAGTCGACTGAAATGGCCTCAAAAACTAAAATTTAAAAAATCCACGTTTGGAGCCAAAAAGGACTGAAATGGCCTCAAAAACTAAAATTTAATAAATCCACGTTTGGAGCTCAAATGGCTGAAATTTATGGAGCTCAAATGGCCTCAAAATGAAATGTAAAAAATCCATGTTTGGAGCCAAAAAGGGCTGAAATGGCCTCAAAAACTAAAATTTAATAAATCCACGTTTGGAGCTCAAATGGTTGAAATGAGTGGAGCTCAGATGGCCTCAAAAATAAAAATTAAAAAATCCACGTTTGGAGCCAAAAAGGTCTGAAATAGCCTCAAAAAATAAAATTTAATAAATCCATGTTTGGAGCTAAAATGGCTGAAATGGACGGAGCTCAAATGGCTTCAAAAATAAATTTTAAAAAATCCACGTTTGGAGCTCATATGACCTCAAACGTAATATTTCAAAAATCCACGTTTCAAACTTAGGTGGACATCAAAAAATTGTACTAAAGCCTCCATGTTATTTTAAAAATATATAAAATATATATTATTGACAAATTAACTTAGCCTCAAAAACAAAATTTCGTTTTAAAGCCCAAAAGACTATCAAAAATAATATTTCAAATATATCAACCAATTTTAGAAAATACAAATACATTTTAAATTCCTAAAACAAATAAACTCAAGATTTAAGGATTATGTTTTATTACAACCATTTTAGATGAAATAGTCCAGCGCTAATGTTCTCCATGGAAATGACACCTGGGCGGTGAAATTGAACTCATCAAATGTTGCTAGGTAAACAAATTATCAACAAAGTTTTTAACACGTTTTGTTTTAGGTGACCTGTGGAGCGGGGGGAGGTGAGCGGTGGTGGTATGATGAGAGGCAATAAAGCCCAAATGATAGACAATCATCACTTCTAGCCATTTTCAACATGCGTTCACGGACTTACCTTCAATGTTTTCTTAAATGCTCCGCGGAAATCCCGATTGAAGTAGGCATAAATAATGGGATTCAGGGCCGAATTGAAATAACCAATCCAAAAGAGGATGCCCACAACGATGCGAGGAGTGGTACAGCTGTCACACAGTGTTGATGTGATGTACCTGAAAGGGCCGAGAGGAGAATAACAAAAAAAATGAGAAAAAGAAGTAGAAGATTATAAATTACAGGTAGCTGCTATCATTATCATCATCAACAGAATATAAAGAAAGGAAACCGGAAATAAAAAATAATTTGCATAAGAATGAGCCAGAATGGACATCATCCTTCTACACCTACATTGACACCTCAGACACCCCCATGAAATGGCTAAACTACTCACCAAAGGAAGAAGGGCAGCCAACACAGCAGAAAGGCACTCATAATGATGCCCAGGGTGCGTGCCGCTTTGCGTTCTCTTCGCATCGTCGATATGGTTGAGGGCTCCACCTGGATGCTAGGACGGGGTTTGGGTATTTGACTTATTTGCAAATGTTTCTCCAGCAGCAGAGCGGCAACTTTCGACCTTTAGCGTGTGTGTGCGTGTGATGTCAATCCCACGTTTGTTTGTGTTGGTAGTTGTCATGACCAGCGATTTAGTGACCGAATCCATTGTGGACATGGATGAATGGTTGCAAATAAAATATGGAACAGAAATAGAAGAAAAAAATCAACGTGTGAAAATTTATTAGCTTAAATTGTAAAGAAGTTCCGTTTTTTTTGTGCAAACTTCCATTTTAGTTTTTTTTTTCGCTTCTAGGAAATGGACCGAAATCTTATATTTTATTCAGTTTTTGTGTTTTTATTCCGATTCTAGGAAATGTAATCTATTAGCAGGGCAGATGATGCTGCCAAGTACCTAGCCGGAGATAGTGGCAACAAGATGTTGCCAAATGCAAGGCCATTTGAATCTATTCAAAAGCGTGTTGTCATGATATTCCAATGAAAGTTTCATGAATTTCAAATTATGGCTATCACACTGGTCATTAGACCGTGTGGGTGTTCGTTCTGCCGGAGCGTATTCAGGACCTAATGCTGAGATAATATGTAAAGTTTTTGTCTTGTGTACACAGAAACCACATGACCAGAGTTGAAACACAAAGTTGGAATAATAAAAATGACCTTGATCTTTTTCGGAAAAAACCTTTTTATTCCCTTCTCAAAAAACCAATAAAAAAATAAAGGTTCAAGAAGAAATGTTATAATTGGTGTTGAAAAAAGGTGCACTATAGCTAATTTGACCAGTTTTTGAGACAAAAAGTAATAACGACGGATATATGGCCTTTTTATGCCCTCAGCCATATGGCTAGAGAAGGTATATATCATTTGATACAACCAAAACGTGCCTCATCGAACTGACGATTTTAGACCCTAGGTCTCTTTGGATCAAATCCGTTTCAGGACATTTGGAGTCGATCTAGCGATGTCCGTCTGTCTGTCTGCTTATCTGTCTGGCACGATAACTCTCGAAGGGTATATCCGATTTGGCCCAAACATGGTATATCGTTATATTTTTATCAAACTTAGATCGAGTTCGGATATGGGTAATATCGGTCAATACCTACTGGTACCTCCCCACAAAAGGTTGACATTTTCAAAACACAAGTTAAAAAGGTTTTGCCGACAGATGTATACCCCCAGCCAATGTACGGTTATTTAAAAATATTTTTACTTCTGTTATGATTATTCCCCTTAAGGAATAGGTTCCGAAGGTACTTGGGCCAATATTGGCCATTTCGTATCGGACCTAAGTAAATATGATATAAATATTGCGACGTGTCAGGTTTGGACTATATTGATAACTTCCTTCACTTTACATGACATATATGATATTTTTTTAGAAAATGTTAACATGTGCGTGAGGTACAATCGACCGAAGCGTTCTAATACATAGATAGTATGGAGATATATTAATTTCGTCAATCCGTTTGTAACTCATCGAAATAATAATTTTAGACCCAGCGCAAAATTCCCAGACAATTTAGCCCTGTCCGTCAGTCCGTCTGTTGTAATCACGCTACAGTCAAAAGGAATTAAGAGAGGAATCTAAAATTTTGCACAGATCTGTATTTTGTCTGCAGGCAGGTCAAGTTCGAAGAGGGGCTATATCGGTTCACTATATCGTATAACCCCCATATAACGGTACCCCCCGATACTTGGCATTTTTATGATTTTAGCCACATTTTTAAACGGAATTGTCTACATAAGGAGTTCTTTGTGAGTACTTTATCCCCAGACATAGACTTGTCTATATAGGTCCACAATATCGTATAGCCCCCATATAACGGTACCCCCCGATACTCGGCATTTTTATGATTTTAGCCACATTTTTAAACGAAATTGTTTACATAAGGAGTTCTTTGCGAGTACTTTACCCTCAGACATAGACTTGTCTATATAGGTCCACAATATCGTATATTCTCCATATATCGGCACCTTCCGATATTTGGTATTTTTAAGATTTTAACAGAATTTTTAATGGATTTTAACTTTTTGAAAATTTAGTTGCAAATGATAGAGGGTATTCAAAGTTCGGCCCGGCTGAACTTACTGCTTTTTTACTTTTCATGGAAAATATGGAAAATATTACAAAAAAATCGAACATTTATATCCAATTTTTGGATAATCGTAAATTCCATATTAATCTCAAGTTTCTGGCAAAGTGAAATATATTTAGATATAGCAAGTTGTAAAGAATCGCTGACTTGTTTCGCAAGTTATGTCAGATAAAAGTATTAGAAATTGTGAACCATTTGAGCGTTTTGTTTTTCATAATATTGAACCCTATGTGGGGCAGGTAGCTAAATAAATGGTCCGATCTATACCATCTTTAAAACAGATCTTGTGTTGATGGAAATTTTGAGATGTACCAAGTCTGAAGGATTAATTTCGCGTTTTTTGAGCTTCATGTATATTCAAAATTGTAAACCTTTGTGAGGGAGGTACCAGAAGGAGTGGACCGATATATCCCAACTTCTCAATAGATCATGTGTTAGTTGAAATAATGGGATGTGTGAAATATAAAGAGAACCTGATGCTTATTTCGCGTTTTATGACCTTCATGGATATTCCAAATGTTGACCCATCGTAGGGGAGGTACCAAAAGGAATAGTCCGATCTCTACCATTTTTATAACAGATCCTGTGTTAATGAAAATATTCAGATGTTCCAAGTCTAAACGGAATCGAATGTTAATTTAGCGTTTTATGAGCTTAATGGATATTCAAAATTTCAAACAATTGTGAGGGAGGTACCAAAAGGAGATGACTGATATATTCCATCTTAACACCAGATCTTGGGCTTATAAAAATATTGTAATGTGTGAAATTTTAAGACAATCGGATTCTTACATCACATTTTATAAGATTTGTAATTATTCTAAATTTTTACCCTTTGTGGGGGAGGCACTTAATGGAGTGGATCAATATTATTCATTTTTGCACCTGACCTAGAACTGACGCAAATGTTAGGATTTGGAAAGTTGGAGCAAACCCGGATTATTGGTCTCTTTCTGTGCAGAAACAAATATTTTTTGTTTTTTTTTCTGAAAATTTCGACCTTGTGTGAGGGAGGTACCAGAAGGAGTGGACCGATATATTCCATCTTAACACCAGACCTTGGGTTAATATAAATATTGGGATGTGTGAAATTTCAAGAAAATCGGACATTAATTCAAAATGTTGATCATTTGTTGGGGAGGTACTGGATGGAGTGGACCGATAGTGTCCATTTTCACACCTGACCTAGCACTGACGCAAATATTAGGATTTGCAAAGTAGCAAAGGAACAAAATCGGATTATCGTTTCTCTTTCTGTGCAGTAAAATATTTATTTGTAAATTTCGACTTTTGTAGGGGAGGTACCAGAAGGAGTGGGCCGATTTCCATATTAACACCAAACCTTGGGTTGATAAAAATATTGGGATGTATGAAATTTCAAGACAATCGGACTGTTATATCACATTTTATAACAGTTGTAATTAATCAAAATTTTGACCCTTTGTAAGGGAGGTACTTGATGGAGTGGACCGACATTGTCCATTTTCGCACCTGACGTAGTGCTGACACAAATATTAGGATTTGCAAAGTTGGAGCAAAATTGGATTATCGTTTCTTTTTCTGTGCAGTAAAATATTTATTTGAAAATTTCGACCTTTTGTGTGAGAGGTACCAGAAGGAGTGAACCGATATTGCCTATCTCCGAACTTGATCTAAGTTTGACAATAGTATTACGATATACCATGATTGGTCTAAATCGGATACTCCCTTCGAAAGTTTTTGAGCGTATCAGCCAGCCAGACAGACGGACGGGGGATACAACATAACGTGGACCTATATAGTCAATTTTCTATAACAAAAGTTCTGTAGACCTAACACATGTTCAACCTACTTCATTTCGTTTGGAAGCTAGGGTGATTTCCAGACGGACGGACGGATATCGCTAAATTGACATACAATTTATGCTTTTTAGATACAAACGGAATAACAAACATAACATACCCTCCATACTATGGTGGAAAGAAAAATGGTGGAACACGTGTTTATCTTTTTTTTATTCTTCTACTACGTGCCGGATTTAGTCCTACAAGAGTAATCGAGATGGTGACCATTCGGTCAATATTCGGTCTTTATACCCTCCACCATACGTATTATGCAGGGTACATTATGTTCGCCATTCCGTTTTTAACTTATCGAAATAATAATTTTAGACCTAACAAAGTATATACGTAGTACTGCCCGTCCGTCCGTTTGTCCGTCAGTTGTAATCACGCTAGAGTCAAAACGAATAAAGATATGAAGCTGCTGGCAGGTCATGTTCGAAGACGGTATCATATAGCCCCCATATCAAGATACCCCGTTATTCGGTATTTTGACGATTGTAGCCAAATTTTTAATGGTCTTAAAATCCATAAAAGAAGTTCTTTTTAAGTTCTTCACTCCCAGGAAGATAATTGTCTATGTAGGTTCACGATATCGTATAACACCCATACAACGGTACCTTCAGATATTCGGCATTTTGATAATTGTAGCCAACTTTTTCAATGGAATTGTCTTAAAAACCAATGGAATTGCCAGGTACAATTCTTCGTATAGCCTCCGTATAAAAGCACCTCCCTATATTGGGTATTTTGATGAAGCAAGTCCATATTTTCGTATAGACCCCAATAAGCAAACACTTCCTATATTTAATATTTTTAAAGTTTTAAAAGAATTTTGAACGGATTTTATTTTTTGAAAATTGCCAAGTTCATTCCAAATGGTGGAGGGTATTCGAATATCGGCCTGCCTTTTTACTTGTTATCATTACGAATAGACATTCGATTATGAAATAGACATTCTTACATATTATGAAAAAGACATTCGAACAATTCGTTACGTCCCCAAAAATTTGAAAAAATAAGCTATAAAGGTTTTATAAAATAGAATGATCAAATATTAATATATGATCAAAAGTGTATTTATGTATGGAGTTAAAATCTCCATCTCTTGAATCCAAAGATGCCTTCTACAGTTTTTTTTTATACCGCGTAGTCAGAGAACCCCACCACTATTTTTTTTTTTTTAATTTTATTTTTATATTTTACAGAAAAAAATCTTTTCCTTTTATGTCCTCAACTCAATATGCAAATATTTTAACTCACCTGTAAACTAGCCGTTCCTGTCTATCTGCTTCCTGATAAATGCGATAATACATTGAAAGCATGACAATGCCAGGTATCCAAAAGCTTACCGATGAGCTGACAATGGCATACGCTTTATTGACTTTGAATTCACAGATCTGAAAGATAAAAAGAAAAGAGAAAAAGGAAGGATGGGTTACCAAAATGTAAACGAAGACCAAGCTGTTAAAAATTATTCAAACAAATTATATATTCAATTCAAAGAAATTTTCTTTCTACAAAAAATAAAAATAATTTCCTTTGAAGAAATCCCGCTGTTTAAAAAGGCGTTAATTAAATGCTGTGATTTTGCCAGGCATTCGTGTGAAAATAGCTTCTTAACTAACCGACATTTGGTGTTTGTGGTAAGAAGTGGAGTTGTTTTCGTTTTTTTGTTTTTTACTTCCATTCTTTTGTGGCAAATAAGCAATTAAATGTTCATCGAGCAGCAACTTATGAAACCCAAAATTCACAGTTTGTGGCGCACAGCAGCAGTCACACGACTGCTTGCGTTTTTTAAACCAAAAAACAAAAAATGACTTTCAATTATTAGCTAATGACAGTTTAATTATTTCACGGAATGGGTGAGGGGAGAAGTAAAATGCTTTCGAAGACGCATGTTAGCTAATCGCTTCGCTAAAAACCAATAAATTCATAAAAATTAACATTAAATTAATGAGACCATTAACGAAACATTTCCAACAAATCGATTCACATAAATTATCCAGAGATTTGCCGAAAAGAAAACGTTGATAGTAGAAGTTCAAACGAGAAGAGTTCAATCACACACAAGTATGGTGGCTGCGGAACATTTTGGTTTGGCAACACAGCTGAAAAGAAGGCCTTAATCCCAAGCTAGACAAATGTTTGTTAAGTAAATTAATTTTTGCGGGGGGTAAATGGGTAGATAGATGTCTGTGTTGGCCGTGGGTGAAAAAGTGTGAGTTTTTTATAAATATCAGCATTTAAAATTCAATTTTCATTTCATTTGTGATTTCTTTTAATTTTAAGATCTTTTGAGTCAAATTTTAACGAACAAAATCAGAATAAAACTCTTGAAGTTCAATGTTTTTTTTTTTAAGACAGGATTTGTGTTCTTTGAAATTGAAAGACAGTAAAGTTCAAAATACGGGAGTACCATTACATCGGGAAGCTGGTCCTTCCGTGGTCGTTTGTATGAAAACTCTGCGTATTAGTGATATGAAATTTATGATATCACTCATACGTTTTGGAACTGTTGTACCGAACTATGAATCAGATCTAAACAACTTTCGTCGTAAGGTTAATTTAGGGTATTATAACGTCTGCTGAGATATTTTAAGTTGAGAAATGGTAAGGTATTTTAAGTTCGGTGGAAGTTAATAAGACGGTTGTTAATGCACGACTCCCTTGTATTTCGGCCAACGCTAGCGACTGACCGCTTCAATGACGCAAATTCAACATCTAATCACCTGAACTTATCACCTGATATACATGGTGAGATAAAAAAACTGCAACAAAGTTTTAACCTTTTTTTTCAATTTTATTGAATAAAAGCTAAAAATGTCCGAAATTAGAATCAAATTTTAGAATAAGTTTGGATTTGAGCGAATTGATCATCCTTGGCACGAATTATGGCCTTCAAACGGTCCTGTCCTGTTGGAATATCCAAGGTCTGCGGCCAGAATATTTGCGTGCCCAAGCTTTAATACACCCTCCAGAATATTTTCGCGATAATATTCGGTATTTATTCTGATGCCACAATCGATTAATACGAGCGGAGATCGACCATCGGCTGTTATGGCGGCCCAAACCATCACCATGACCGGCGCTTGAGTTCTGGTGGCCAACCGAAGGTGCAAATTGCCAAAGATGTCAGCTGAAATGGTGCACCCTTGGCGGGCCACCAGAATTCAAGTGCCGGTAATGGTGATGGTGTGAGCCGCCATAACAGCCGATGGTCGCTCTCCGCTCGAATTAATCGACCGTGGCATCAGAATAAATGGCGAATATTATCGCGAAAATATTCTGGAGGGTGTGTTAAAGCTTGGGTACGCAAACATTCTGGCCGCAGACCTTGGATATTCCAACAGGATTACCAAATGAGGTTCCTCGCTTCATTTCCAGCGCACAATGGCCACCAATATCTCCGGATACCAATCCGTTGGACTAGTGTGTCTGGAGTATTTTGGAAAGCAAGGATGATACTAAAAAATACAAAAATGCGCCAAAAAAATAACAAATCTAAACTTATTCTAAAATGTGATGCCATTTCTGATATTTTCTGCTTTCATTCAAAAAAAATTTACAAAAATTTAAAATGTATGGTTTTTGACTTTGTTGCAGTTTTATTTATCTCACCCTGTATGAGTACCTTCCTAAATTCAGTATTTTGATGATTTTAGGGACATTATTCACCAAGATTTTTTCGTATTTCGTATTTGTAGTTCGCTGTTGGTGCTACTGTCTATGAAAGAAAATTTACCATAGGGGTCCACGACCTCGTACAGACCCCGTATAGCGGTTCCTCCCAATATTCAGTATTTTCATGATTTTAGCGATATTATTCAACGGAATTGATTCAAATGTAAGTTCGTAATGTGTACTACAGTCTGTGACTGGAAATTCGTCACGCAGGTCCACATCTTTGTATACAATCAGTATTTCGAAGATTTTTGCGATATTATTAACGGGAGTTTTTCAAGTCTCCTATTTGAAAATTATAATGGCCAATGAAAAAACTTGCCTGTGCAGGTCCACGTCTTCGTATAGACCCCAGTACTACGGTAACTCCCTATATTGGGCAATTGTATTTATTTTTAACAGTATTTTTGAATACATATATATTTCTTTTAATTTCCAAATTCCTTCCAAATGGAGTAGGGTATTCAAAGTTCATCCCGGCCGAACTTATTGCTTTTTTACTTGTCATGCTTCATCTAATACAGATAGAAATTTTTGTATGAGCAAAATTACGAGAAAATCGAGCATTTATATCTAACTTTATTCGAAGTTCCATATTCATCTCAGGTCTCTGGTTGAGAGAAATATTTAGATATATCAAGTTGTAAAGAATCGCTAAGTTGTTTCGCAATTTATGACAGATAAAAGTATTGAAAATTGTGACCCTTTGTGGGTGTGGTACCAGAAGGTATTTACAGATATATATCATCCTCAGAACAGATCTTGTGTTAGCAAAAATGTTTGGATGTGTGAAACTTGAAGAGTGTTGGATATTTATTTCGCTATCTTTACGTGTTTTGTTTTTCAAAATCGTGAACCCTATGTGGGGAGGTCCAGAAGAAATGGTCGGATTCCTGCCATCTTTATAACATATTTTTTTATTGATGGAACTATTAAGATGTGACAACTCTGAATAGAATCCGATGTTTCTTTCGGGTTTTATGAGCTTCATGGATATTCAAAATATTGACCCTTTGTGGGGGAGGTACCAAAAGGAGTGGACCGATATACCGATATTTTCATGGCATATCTTGTGTATGTGAAAATAATACGATGTGTGAAATATGAAGGGAACCGGATACTTATTTCGGATATTATGATAGTTTTGGTTATTTAAAACTTTGACCCTTTGACCAGTTAGCAGACATGCCGACAGACAGACAGAGAGAAGGACATTGCTAGATCGACTCCAAATGTCCTAAAACGGATTTGGTCCAAAGGAACCTAGGATTTTAAATCATTTCCACGAGGCACGTTTTGGCCGTATCAAATGATATATACCCTCTGTAGTCATATGGCTAAGCATATTAATACGCCTTTAGTGGAAATTTGTCAGAAATATTTATGGAAGTTAAAAAATAATGGTTCACTGTTTCCAACCCTGCCAACCCTCTTCTCAAATTGTCACAATAATTCAAATAATAAAATATGAATTTCCATAAAATATTAAGTATTAGATTTTTCTTAAATTCGCATATCTTAATTAGATAACATTAGATCTCGCATTAAGATGTGGTTTGTCGGTATACCCCTTCTGGTACCCTCTCCTGAAATGTTTACTATTCTGATATTTTTGAGCGTTTTTGTATTGAAATTTTACTTTTTTTTCGATACAGGTCCCGGCTTCGAAAAGCATTCCTGTAAACATCCCTGCCTCTCCCAGAAAGCGTCATAATAAAAGTAATGATACTGATTCATATACGTATGCAATCGGAAACCTGATTGTCACCTTCCTACTTGTAATAGATTTTTAAATAAAGTCGAGGTTCGTTCTGAGTAACTGCTGATAAATTGCCGAAAATTGTCATGTGACGACATTATAGTGCCAAAAGCAAAAGCCTCGTATTTTATTACCTTCCAAAACCTGGCAGTACCAATTTTCAATTTTTCCACACATTATTCCATTCTACATTTTCCAAAGAGAGCAAAATTTACTCTTGCCCTCTTTAATTTTAATCCAAGCAGCAATAAGTTGCAGATTTAAAAATATTCCGAATAAATTGTGGAGTGGTCTCATGCCACATCCTTCCATTCACCCATACATATGTGTTTGTTTAACCTACATAATTGAATTCCATTAACTGTGAACGTATACTTAATATAGATTTATAATAAAAATATCACTCAACCGCAACAATGCATCTCTGGCTCCATCCTCTCCATTCATTCATTTCACCCACACAACAACACAAACAAACAATATGCTCTCCAGGTTTTTGGGGTCGCACGCCATGCATCGATTGCACTTCTAATTTTAAAATTAACTTTCAATGTCAACACGAATGGACTGGAATGGACCGCAGAGCAGCTGAGTGCCACTGTTAAGGTTGTGTGTGTGTGTGTGAGTGCTTGCAGCTGCAACTGCATCATATCCGATTTGTTGTAGCTATTTTTAATTTTATTATTATTTACAGCAATGCCAAAGTTTAAACCAATGATGACCATCGCAACCACCACCTCCACTACCAACCCCTTATTCTCGTTCATCCGTTTTAATTTAACTTTTTCAATATCGGCAACATGGAAAGTTCATTTCATTTGAGAGGTTTATATTCTTTTTGATTTATTTCTTCGATTTTCCTCTTCGATTCTATTGTAAAAAGGAGGAGGGAGGAATGGAGGAGAGGAAAAGGGTAAAAGAAACTACTCTTTGAAGGATGTAAAGTTTTGTTACTTC